CACCAAAGTCTCCTGTAATAAACCGGGAATGCAAAGAGGCCCAGAGCATCCACACAACTGCACACTAGGCAACAAAGCTCAAAACACATGCAGCGGAAACCCAAATGCCTCTTGAAAGATAGAACCATTTCAAAACCCCAGGGTACTCTTATACTCCAGTTAGCTATCATTTCTCCCTTCTAATTAGCCTTTTTAAGTACAGAGTTAGAGACTCATTTCTATAGAACTCCTCCCTCCCTCCCCAAACTCTGGCCCTACACACTTGAGGTCTTATCTCCTACGCTGCCTGTATTCTTATTCCTCCTTCATTTCCTACCTGGCTGAAAACTTCGACGGAAAAAAAAAAAAAAAACCTGGCTGATAGGCAAAGGCTCTAGGTCACAAGACGTTATCAGAGAGTTGCCTGGGAAAGAATAAGAAGCAGGTTACTCTGCCTTACTGCCCTGGTGCCAAAAACGTGATTTTCCTCTTTCCACTCAATCATAAAATAACCCAAAGTCATGATTCATCTGATTTAAATGTAGTCTGTTTCCTAGAGAGAACTGAAACATTTGGCTGAGTTATGTCTAAATGGGAAAAACAAGTACCTGTGAACAGATTAGCAATGTGCAGACAAAGAAGTTCACAAAAACATTAAACCAAATATGCAATGTCCTAAACTCTTTGTTCTTTCACACCTATTGACCTGAAAAGTTGCTCATGATTCATTGTTTGGGTAGAAAAAAGTGCCAAAACAGCATGTATAATACAGTCTTGTTTCTATAAAAAAGAAAGTTCCACATATATGTACTCACACACACTCTAGTGGTTACTGGTAAGTAGTGAGATGATAGGTAATTGTATCTTTCCTGTTTATTATCTGTATTTTCTACAGCTTAACATCACCTCTGTAACAAGAAAAGCCAGCACTACTTAGTCTTTCTAAACAGTCACTCATCTTTAGGCCTGAGGACTGCAGTGGGCTCGTGTCTAGTGACTCACCTCCAAGTTCACTCACATTCTGATTTTATTTCAACCACAAACAGCACAAACTTCTCAAGGAAGGAAAGCAGAAAAGGCAAAAGAAGAGATAAAACGTTTAAGGACTTGGGAGCAGGGACAAGGACTCTTCTTAGTCCCAGATGACATATCTACACAGAAGACCCAAAGATTCCACATTTATCCTACAAGAATTAATAAAAGTTTAGCAAGGTTGCTGGATTTTTGTTAAAAAATCAGTATCTTTTAAAAATAACTGCAATAAACAAAAAGTTTAAGGATAATATTTTTTAAGAGACGTCAGAGACAAAGTCATGAATCATGAGGTGGCGGCTTGCAGAGAAATCTGCTTTTGACACCGTCCCCAGAATGACAGCAGAGAGAACCTGGCAGCCCCAGAAGCAGAAACCCAGGCATGGAGATTGATCGATGGGGCAGAGGGGTTCTTTAAGGCTGATGGTCTGGAGCGGAAAACTAATACAGAGGGATCTGCAGGGTCCGGAGTTTCTGCCTAGAATAGGGGCAGAGGAGACACCACTAAGGTGCTTCAGGAAGCTAACACTATTCCTGTATTGAAAACCACCAAGTGTTAGCCAGGTGCCTTGGCTCACACCTGTAATCCCAACACTTTGGGAGGCCAAGGCAGGTGGATCACGAGGTCAAGAGATTGAGACCATCTTGGCCAACATGGTGAAATCCCATCACCACTAAAAATACAAAAAATTAGCTGGGCATGGTGGCACATGCCTGTAGTCGCAGCTACTCAGGAGGCTGAGGCAGGAGAATCACTTGAACCTGAGAGGTGGAGGTTGCGGTGAGCCAAGATAGTGCCACTGCACTCTGGCCTGGGCGACAGAGAAAGATTCCATCTCAAAAAAAAAAAAAAAACCACCAAGTGTTGACGGGTCCCGCACTATTGCTGTGTCAGATAGAGATGGAATGTACATCATTAAAGTGGCCAACGAAAATGACCCAGAGCATGCCTGCAGACCAGGGGTCTCACTTACTTTTGCCCTTGCAACACGCCAGCCAGCAAGCCAACCTGGACTTTCAAAACACAAGCTTGGACTTGTCTGTTAACTTTAATACCCACCAGGTGGTTTACCTTTAGTAGTTTACCTTTAGTAGTTAGTCTGTTTCACAGCCAGCAGCAGTGCCAATATGGCACTCATTATTAGCCTAGAAAAGGAACTCGCTCCATTGTCTGAAGAACAGAGACAAGCTGTGGAAGTTTCTTAATCTGACACTGGTTTCAATGTGTGCCTTATCTTCATCATACCAGACACAACATCAGTCCAGCAACCAGGCCACAATAATACGGATGTCTATGCCCTCAGGGAAAGGCCCCTTTTCCCACCTTCTAGGAAACAGTCTATAAAGAGAATTTCTGAGCAGATTGATCGTTATATCTTTCTTTGTTTAGGGTCTTCTCTTATTTACTGGGATGTGGAGATACCACAAAAATCGTTCCGTCTATCATTGTTCCCATGGAGTTAGCTCAGTCACCAAAGATTGATGAGATGCTGTTCAGTGGCTCAGAATCAAAACACTACATTGATCCACTTGAACCATTAAATGCTCCCTGTTGTACAATATTCCCAGCCCTGCAGGAGGAAGTGGACTCTTGACTGTGAATAGTGATGAGGACATGGTTTTCTTCACATTATATTTTACTTCTTTGTATTGAGTGTGAGACAGATAAAATGGCTTAGCAATAAAATCAATAGAGTCACTAACTTTCCTATGTACACAGTCATCCCTTGTTATCCTCAGAGAATTGGTTCCAAGACCTCCTGCAAAGACCAAAATCTACAGATGCTCAAGTCTTTTATATAAAATGGTATAGTATTTGCATGTATTCTATGCACATTCTTTAGTATACTTTAAATCATCTCTAGATTATTCCTAATACCTAATACAACGTAAACACGAGGTAAATAGTTGTTATACTATATTGTTTTTTGGATTTGCATTATTTTCACTGTTGTATTGTTTTTTTCCCAAAATTTTCTTTTTTCTTTTTTTTTTTTTTAAGACAGGGCCTTGCTCTGTTGCCCAGGCTGGAGTGCAGTGGCATGCTCACGGCTCACTGCAGCCTTGACCTCCCAGGCTCCAGTGATCCTCCCACCTCAGTCTCCCAAGTAGCTGGGACTACAGGCATGCACCACCATGCCTGGCTAATTTTTGCATTATTTTTTTGTGTAGAGGTGGGGTTTCACCATGTGGTCCAGGCTGGTCTCAAACTCCAGAGCTCAAGAGATCTGCACTCCTCGGCCTCTCAAAGTACTGAGACTACAAGCATGAGCCACCATGCCCGAATATTTTCAATTTGTGGTTGGTTGAGCCTGCAGATGTGGAACCCTCAGGTACAGAGGGCTAACTGTGCATTATTTTGTGGTATGGATAAATATTACCAATTGATTTGATTATTTTCAAAGGGTGCTGCCCTTTACCTAAAATGCAAATTACAGCTAAGGGGATTTTTCTCCCATTCTGCTATCCATAACCCATCCGTTTTAATGCTTTCAAGTTCTTCATAAGATTTAGGTGTGATTCACTAACAAACTCAGCTTCCAAAACCAGTATGTATGTAAACGTGATAATACAGTCTTTTTTCCAGATATGAGTATAAATAAAATAGTACTTTAAAGTAAAAAAGTTACATATCAAAATGTAAAACATCTGTGAGAATATATCTAATAAAAATGTATAAAACATTTATACGTAAATTTTTGAAAGTACTGAAAAACATTTTTTTAAATACCTAATAAATGGAAAATCCATTCTCTATTCATGGATTGGAAAAGTCAAAGTGAAAGTGCTGATTCTCCCTAAATTGATCTACAGGCAATGCAGTTCCAATCAAAATCCCAAACACTTGTCTTGTTGAATCTGACAACTGATTTATGCAGAAGGGCCAAGGACCGCCAAGGCTGTGCTGAGGAACACAGGTGTGGAAGGCTCGTCTTCCCAGACATGCAGAAGCCACGGAATGTGGGGAGCCCAGACAGGGACAGGCCTGCATTTCTATTCCACTTTTACTACTAATTGGGACTTTGGTGAAGCAATGCCCCTTCTCTGGATCTTCGAGCCCTCATCTCAAAACTATGCTCATCCTCACCTCTTCCATTAAGAAGCTCACATATTCAAAGTACACCTCAAAATGATCTGAAAACCCACACACTACAATCCTAAAGTCACAAAGTCACCTGGCTTTGGAGCTCATCGGTAAACTCCATCCAAGCAGGAATGCCACCTACCCAGTCACCCACATCCTCAGCTATTGACATAAGTGAGGCTGAAAGATAAGTTTCTGTTTGGGTGCCTGGTGTGTGGCACACATGGCTGCTTGGGCCGGACCCCCACAGCCAGTGGACATCTAGCTTGTTGTCTGAAGCACAATCCTCCTTTTCCTTCTTTAAAGGTGACTTCGTGTTCTCATTTGGGAAAAGCAATAAATAAGCAATTCTCTGCTGGGTTTCCAGGTGCAGTGTGTTCTAGGAAGGGATCTGATATGGTTTGGCTGTGTCTCCACCCAAATCTCATCTTGAATTGTAGCTCCCACAACTCCCACGTATTGTGGGAGGGACCTGGTAGGTAATTGAATCATGGGGGTGGGTCTTCCTGTGCTGCTCTAGTCCTGACAGTGCATAAGTCTCAAAAGATCTGATGGTTTTATAAGGGGGAATTCCCCTTCACAAGCTCTCTTGCCTGCCATCATCCATGTAAGATGTGACTTTGCTACTCCTCGCCTTCCACCATGATTGTGAGGCCTCTGCAGCCATGTGGAAATGTGAGTCAATTAAACTTCTCCTTATAAATTACCTAGTCCCAGGTATGTCTTTATTAGCAGCACGAAAATGGACTAATACAAGATCAGAGCAGGTCTCTCCATGTGCAGAACACCCCAGGGCCCAACACTTAACCAAAAAACAAGAACACATGGACATCATGCCTGACCTTGAGGTCCCACCAACCCACTGCCCCAAGACCAGGAGGAAGCCTCTGTCTCCACCCTGTACCTGTATTTGATGTCGAATACTGTGGAGTCCTCATCCTCATCATCCTCTTCATTTAGCGGCGCCATTTCCACTCGCTCAGCTGGAGTGGTGATGATATCATACTTGCGGGTCTTCTTTAACCTCTTTCCTGACCTGCAGGAGAAGCAGCACATTCATGAGAACACAGCTGAGAGAGAAAGAGTCATTGGGCCCAAGCCCCAGAGGACCTGACAGCAACTTAGCAGCTGGTGTTAAGTCAGGTTTCCTTCCTCTGTCTGAGAGCATGAGGATCTGACAGAAAGCAAACCATGCTGCTGCCTCCAGCCTGGCTGCTGAGACCACTCCCAGCAGATTCGGTGAATGCCCTGCTAACCCACTTACGATCATGGGACCTCAAGTGAGTGACTGGCCTTGCTAACCCTTAAAGCAGAGGTCCCTGGCCTGAGCACTAAAAACTCAGTAAGCAAGATAAAGAATATACAAATGCTCTCTCTCTCTCTCTCTCTCTCTCTATATATATATATATATATATT